CATCTACCATGTGTCATGTGTAGTAGAAAATTTGCACATTTTCAACTTTTTCTCCACAGCCACTGAGCCACTTCATCATCATTAACTCTAAATTAATGTCACTTTTAATAATTTTTTTCCTTACTTTATTAGGGAACATACATGTACATAGTTAATCAAATTTTTGACAACTAAATATCATATTTCTTGTAGAAATCTGTGATGTAGGGAGATACAAAGCTTCAAACAGCACCAAGTTTAAGGCAGTCTGTCTGAATTGTGAAATTGGAACCTATCAGAATGAACGTGATAAAACCTCATGTAAACACTGCTTCCAGGGAATGTATCAAGATGAGATTGGCCAATCAGATTGCAAGTACTGTGCACCTGGAACTTTCCAGAATAGAACTGGCCAATCAGAATGTTTGTTATGTCCTGCTGGATCCTATCAAGATGAATATGGGCAACACAAATGTAAGATTTGTCATGCTGGAACATTTCAGTGGGAAGAAGGTCAGGACATTTGTTTCTACTGTCCTGTGGGTACATTCCAGGATTTAACTAGTCAGGCCAAATGTAAACCATGTGAATCAGACCATTACCAGGATGAGATTGGTGCCAGCTGGTGTAAAATATGTCCCCCGGACATTAGGTTGTACCCTGACAGTGTGGCTATACAGCAGCAGTGTCCTGAACTAAACTGAAATGTGAAATGCGCATTGATGTGATATGAAGCTGTAAACCATTTCACATAGCATTTACCAAAGTTTGTACATTCTACATTTGAAATCTGTGTGCATATTTTACAAATTTAACACATAACAATTTCAAGTGAAATACTCTATTACATGTACTTAATTCCTTGAACATGTTGAATAAAATTGATACTTTCCCTGAACAATTGTTATGTTTATTTTTATGTCATTATGTGACTTTTATGTCAAATCATTTTGATTTATTTTCTGGAGGGGAAAAAGATTTTCTGATATTAAAAAAATCGATTAATGATATTATACATATTTTACAAGGATAGCTAGTTAGGTTCATGAGAATATTTAATTCTCCTCTGACCTTGCAAGTAACTTTTTTGTAACATCCAACAGTGTCCAAGGGGTCTTCATGTCCGTCGCATTGGAATCATCATTGTTCGTGGGGGACTAAGGGCCCTGTCACACCAAGCTGCGTCCCCACGGAGATATTACGGCGTTGCTAAATGTTTAAAATAGCTGAGGAATCGCAGGGAAATTACACAAATTTCTGTAAAATGTTCACAATGTGAAGATGTCACGGCATCCCTACGGCGACCGACGCGTTTCTACGGCGTTCTCGCGGCGTGCTACTGTCTTCCTACGGAGATCTCTTGGCGATTGACTGCGCTTCCGAGGAGTTTTCACAGCGTGTAAGGAGTTGTCACCTCGCGTTCATGGCGTTCTCACTGCGCTGGCTGCGTTCACAATACGTCCACAATGCGTTCTTCAACCATGGATAGATATACAGGAGCGTAACACATTTTTTTTTTTAAAGATTCATGTTATATGACAAAAAGACTTCTACTCATGCTAAGAAATATTCTTTAATTAAAAATGATCTATTTGAATAATTTAGTGCTAAATTATTGACAGTTTTATTATTAAAACCCTTCTTTTTTTCCAATTTTATCAATTCAGATGTGTTCTTATCTTTTCTTTGATTTTATTATGAATGTAAAATAAAAAATAATAATAAACACACTGAAAAGTTGTTATAAAATTTAAGTAATTCCACCGCAACTCTCTTGAAACAACAGAACAAGTTCTGGTCACTTCACAGTTCTACTCCCGTGCTCTTGGTCAGGAGTGCAAAATATACGCTAGAATTATTGCTGACCAAACATGAGGCCATTGCTCTCGTTTTGTGAGCTGACTGACAACGCTCCAACAACGCCTTGAAAGCGCATTAATGTGATCGCCAACGGACGCGGTAGAAACGCCAAGGGAGCGCAATGATCGCATTGACAACTCCTTGTCGCTGTGTAATCGCATTCAAAAAAAAAAATAACAATTAAAAAATTAATTAATCTCATTAGAAGCGCCGTAAAAGCGCGATAGAAACGTAGTGATATCTCCAAGGACTCCAAAGACACGAGGTCTCCGTGGAGGCGCAATCTACTATCACTGCGTTGATGCTGCGATCATGTGCGTCTTCACGGCGGTCCCTCTGCGTTGTTGGAGATCTCACCGCGCTGCTACCTCGATCATACTACGTTTCTACTGCGTTCTTATCGGACCGCGCACACACGGCGCGTACTTTGTGCATGCCCAAAGTGCGTGCCGTCCCCTGACGTTCTAGGAGAGCCTATGCGACCCTACTGCGTTCAGTGGAAATCTCACCGCGTTGTCACGGCGCTGTATATAGGAGACTCTATTGCGCTCACCTCGGCGTTTTTCATTTTTTATTGACGCCGTGCGATCGCCGTGAGGACGCAGTCCCGGTGTGACAGGGGTTTTATATTGGTGGATTTAGCAAGTCACCCTTACCCCCGTTCACACAAACGTTTATTTTGTAAATCTATTTATTCATTTAATAGGCCTACACAGTCTCGTAAAATCTCACTTCCGGTAAACTACTTCCGGAGACAACTTGGAGATCGATATATAGTGCAATTATAGTAGATTGGCGGCGTATACGGTTATGACAATTTGTTTTGTATTCGATTGTAACCACCAAGGGTTGAGAAAAACATGTAAGATGTTTCGCTTCCCAACCAGCCTCGCATTGGCGAAGAAATGGGAAAAACTTTGCAGGTACGTATCATCACTTATCATATCTTTGACCTTTGTCATCTGTTTGTACGTAGAATGCTGTATACATTTCAGAGCATGTATCAATATATGACTTTTTAAAACGTTTATTAATAAAACAGACGTAAGGATAGAAGCATGATCCCTCAGAATGACAGGATCTGCAGCTGTCACTTTGTAGATGGTGAGAAGCGTAATGGCCCCACCCTCTTCCCATGGAGTTGTGGAAAAATGTTCAATTTCCCTGATCCGAGCAAAATAAACAGGTACTGTATAACAGGGCTACTTTTATATAGTGTAGTAAAACATGATTTTGTTTATATGTTTTTCTGATGGAATAAACAATCATATATTAACTGATTAAAGCTAAGTTTTCAGTGCATAAAATGTTACATTTTATTTTTGTTCAGCTTGTCGAGAACCGGAAAAAAAGAGATAAAAGAAAAAGCAGTCTCTGAAGACCAGTGTGAATCTACTGCAATGTCATGTCAACCATTACACGTTTCTCTAGATCACACCTATCAGGCTTCATATCATCAGTTAAAAGAAGAGAATCAGGTAAATATGACAGCTGTACACAAAAATAAGTGACATAGTGCATGTACTTCAATAGTAGCAATAGCATTCACCTTATTAAGAAAAAAATGTCTGATAGGATATATTAAAACTTGGTGTCTTTGGTATTTTACCTGGTACATGTTTTAATTCTTATTTGTAAGTCGGTATATGTACATTTTACATGTATTCACCAGAACCTGAGGCGTGAGGTTGAAGAACTAAGAATACAGGTCAGGATGATGTCAACAAAGCGAGCATTCAGGATTGGTGATATCATAAGTGAAGAAAGGAAGGTACGTTTCGGAAGATAAATAGTATAAATATATCAGGTATTATATAACATGTATATTATAGTATAAATAGTATATATAAGATAAATAAGTTTAATTTTGTTATCATTCAATATAGACATTAAATTAAATTTCAGCTATAAAAACCTTGTTAAAACGTTTAAATTTATAGTTGAAAATCTCCTTTCATAAAAATAAGCTGTGATCACACATGTCTTTGAACACGATACTTTGCGGTTAAGTATTTTCATTTCAGTTTACATGTTTATTGTGATAATGGGCCAACTGCTGGACAGTTCATCAGCCTGTGATAAATGACTGGATAAGTGCTAGAACATCCAATGCCAGGAAAGAAAATAAATCTGCTTATATCTTGTAAAACTGTTTATATGAAATACTGCTGGACAGTATTTTCATTTTCATGGGCAAATAAATTTGAATAATAAAAGAAAAGAAACATTCTTGACACTGTGTTTTTAATGTCATGTTTTGATATAGATGCTGATGTACACAAGTCTACGTCCTGACATGTTTCTTGCCATTGATGAAATGATGCAGAGGTTCCAGATAAAGTATATTGATGGATGGACACCATCTTTCATTTCCTTGACTGACCAATTGTTGATGACTTTAATGAAACTGACAATGAACACCCCATTTTTGGACCTAGCTGAGAGGTTCAACACTAGTGCGTCATCTGTAAATAACATTGTAACTTCTCAGATTTGTGCATTGCATGAAGTTTTATATGAAGGACTCGTAGAGAGTCGCATTCCTTCTCTCCAAAAGTGCAAGGGGTCTATGCCTATAAGTTTTGGGGATTTCAGTTCATGTAGAATAGTACTTGATGCGACGGAAATCACCCAGGATGTTCCAGGGAATGACATGAGATTGCAGGCCAGCACATATAGTGGATACAAAAATTCACACACTGTTAAAAGTGTTACAGGTGTTGCACCAAATGGTGCTTTGGTATTTATTAGTAAATTGTACCCTGGCAGCACATCTGATGTTGCAATTGTAGAACATTGTAAGGTCTTAGAACAGTTAGCACCAGGTGATATGATCTTAGCAGACAAAGGGTTCACTATTCACAAGTTGTTGCCCCAAGGAGTACATTTAAATATTCCTCCCTTTCTCACATCTAAATCCCAGTACACCCCCAGTGAGGTCCAGCTATGTAGAAAAATAGCCAAGTCTCGCATACATGTTGAAAGAGCAAATGAGCGCATTAAAAATTATGAAATTTTAAGGCATGTCCCTCAGCAATTTAGATACATTTCTACAAAAGTCTTTCAATTATGCTGTGTTTTAGTCAATTTTCAGGATCCTCTCATGCAAGAAATTGCTCAGAATTTTGCAAGTGTAGACAACTAAGATGTTAAAATTAGAATATGTTTTCACCATGTTTAATGTTATATTTTATAGCTGTTGTACATAAGGAAGAAATTTACAGAAATAAAAGTCTGTCAAAACAGATATGTTAATTCCCCAATTGACGTCTTTGTTAATTCTAACAATAGCACAGTCTTTTGGTGTCCAGACCATGAAATCACACAAGGACTTTCCAGTTATGTAAAGTTGTCCTTGAACTTGATCATAGTATTGGTGGTTTTCTCGTAATCTGTATGATTTCACTCCATGAAAATCCTGAACCTCTGTATGAAAAAATAAATAAAAATATATTTGTCTCATTTTTATAGAATAAGAATTTTCATTGGTGCTTCAAACATTAAAACACAATATTATGTATTTAGTATAAATTTATAAGTAATTTGTTCCTTACAATAAAGTGAGAACGCTAATTATATGCCTTGAGTACTAGCATTATAATTACAACAGGAGGAGAAAACTTTTAACAATTGTTACATGGGTACCTAACTTTATCATATAAAACATATATATTGGAGTTATTGAAAATAATTAACATTTTCAAAAAAATACTTAATATACACTATTATTACCTAGGCAGAAATCATTTACTTTTTCAATAGCTTCTGGAATGGTCATATTCTTCGCTGAAAAGGGGCATTTCACCTCCAGAATTTCTGGCTTAACGTTTAACATCTCTAACATGTCAGCTAGTCCTGGATTCTGATAGTTGAATTCGAATGCAGCTGGGCGACGAATGAGTCCATCTGGGCTTGACCCAAGAACCCCATTACAGTGTAGCCAGATACCTTATAAATAGCATTATAAAGTTACAGGATAACATTATAAAGCAACACTCCGAATATTGTTATGCACTTATGTACAAGAAGACTTGTTATAAACATAACATCAAAACAGTATATTCATACTCATTATCTTCAACTTCAGTTTAATAACTGAATTTTAAATTATCTCAAGTACAATTTTTTTTATTATTATTTATTTGCCTTAAAGAAATTAACATTTTGCTTGATTTATGAAAGAAAAATACCAACCTGTTGGCTCTACAACTGCATCCCCAAAAGTTTTGTACTTTTCAATGGCGACTTTTTCATTGCACATCCCCCAAATAATAGCATCCTTTTTTGACAGATCATAAGCTGAACATAGTCTTTTGTATAAGGAGATAGGATATCTATTAAATAAGGAGCAAGAACATCTGTTAAATAAGGATCAAATTTTCAATATTTTTGATTTAATTAACTGCTTTTACATGTATTATTTAATTAAATGTACATATAAAGGCATATAACTACAGGTATACCTATTTCTCTTGATCGCTGCCAAAACACAACCAAAGTTTGATGCTGTTAATCTATTCTTCCTAACAGATGACCACATGCAATTTTCTTTTTGACCAGTGGTAAGAGAGGCAATCTACAAAAGTCCTTAAACTTAAACAACATTCAAATTAAAACTGAATACTTTCAACTCACTACACAACTTTTTTGTCTTTACCTGTTGGATTTGTTGCTCATTAATCATTAATTTTTGCTTCATCCAAGCAATCGGATTTTCCGCAGAAATAAATTCCTGGCTAGATATGAGGTCTTCAACTAGAGGCACTGCAAGTGTGGGTACAGGCGGCTCAGGGGATAGTATCCAATGCATTGCTGTTGATTAAATTAAAAAAAAATTTAAACCCTCATAGAAAAATAAGGCAAATACTCAATAACCCTGTATTAAACTGCAGTTACATTACCAATTATTAATACCAGTATATATGTTTAATATTTTTTCAAACTTATTTTATTCACTACTTCAAATAAGTGTGGGATTTCAATGTATACAATGACATGTGAAAAGAATGTACAAATAACTCCTTCAGAGTAAAAGAAATAGGTTTAAACATAATAAAAGTGTATTATTAAAAGTTTAATACAAAAACAAGAACAAAAAAAAGACAAGAACAAAGCTAAACATGTGACAATAAAAAAAAGGATCAGATTAACCTGAAAATCTCCCCACAGTAGTCAATTTCTGATATAGGAACTCCCTGTCCCTATCATTGACTGGCCTATTTGTTGCCCTAATAATTTTTGACAAAGGTTAAAAAAATAGAGCAAAATAAAATGCTAAATGGTTTAACACAAAGGCCTACCATGCAAAATAATTAAATCTGATACTTAAGGTACACTACATATTATCATTCACTACATACTGTAAATTGAAATACAAGTTAAATGCAAACATACATACACACACACATATCTCTCTCTCTCTCTCTCTCTATATATATATATATATATATATATATATAATCATATATATTTTGCACATTAGTAAATGTAGTAATCATGAGCTAGCTAACCTGTAATTTACAAATCTGTCTGCTGCAGGGAAAAGGTCCTCCATTGTCTTGGTTTGTCGAGGTGGGACCGACTTCGGATTTTTCACCCACGACTGCCGAACATCTGTCTTGGAGACATTCTTATACCTGTTGAGAATTAAATACCTGACATACATACTTATTTTATTGAAATGTGTTTAGAACTTGTCCACCAGGGATTGAAAAGAAGTTACATATATTAACATGCATAGCATATTTTATTATGCTTGTAGGTCCATCGAATGCTTTAAAATAAATTCAATAGATTTATAAGTTGTTTATTGACTAAATAAATTTAGATTAGATTACCCATAGAGAAGGAGGCTAGCCTTATGGTGACATTTATCCTGCCCATTAACACACTCACAGGTGCTGTTCTCCACATTATAATTCGTTCCAAGACTAATCTATATATTATATATCCATTAATAATATATTGATATATTTAGCTCATATATAAGTAGAATCAAACAAAACGTTTTCTTATCATTTTATTTTGTGTATTCAGTCTCAAAATGAAGGGAAATCCGCCTACCGTTACATTATAACTCCTGTCTCGCATTGAAGCTTGGACCACACCGCGGACGTATGAAGCTTCCTGGTCATAAATAAACCTCAGTACATGGTCAGAATGTACAGCTATTTCAGATTTTCTGCTCAATTTTTTGGTTCCAGCTGTATAATTTGCCCAATATAAGATAGAAAACGCCATCGCACTATTTACTGCACACCGGCCGACATGTTTGTTTATCTCCAAAACTGAAATCTCGCGAAGTCTCGCGTAACACTGTGTAGGCCTATCTATCGTACAAACAAGTAACCCACGAAATTACGTCCCCACGAACAAGTAACATTTTGCTTGCCCACGAACATTGACCCCCACGCATTAAAATAATTCCAGAGTAACTTGCATAAATCGAGGGAGACCCTACCGCATCAGCGAAGCAGTAAAACTTCCCTTACAATCCGCCTGCATTTCCCCCGCTCAGGGAAGCTTCTGAGTATCTAAAGCCTCTCCAATAACGACAATCTCTGTCTTTTAAGCACTGATACTATGGCTGTAAATGGACACAAAGTCCTGGCCTTAGAGCTTCCTGACTGAAAATAAACATACTTTAATTTACTGTAAAATAACATCGTGTCATGTCTTAATCTTTGAAATTCTACGTAATATTGGTCATTTTAATCTCGAAATTACATAAAGCGAGAACTGTATGCAAAAATAATCCTGCTGCCACCCAGTGAGAAGCCATCCCGAGTGTCACATCGAGTTTGAAGACTAATGAACTTAATTACTAAAATATATGGCCTACAAGGTACTGATGAAGCTAAATTCTATCGCAATATTTCATAACCATATAAGGTATTAGGAAAGAAACCTTCTGAGGGTTAACTTTGATATAGAATTTTAAGTCGAACGTCGAAAAGATATAGATACACCGAAAAGTGAGGAGGAGTGTTTGAGAAAACGGAGCACTTTTATATGTCCTTTGTTACTTCTGGGGGTTGTCTGGTAGTTGCTCCCTTCCGTAAAATATAATTCTCGGAACTAATATGTCCATACCTATGAAAAAATTTAAGTTTTCTCACCTTGTTTGTCTTTTCACCGCTTGGGGGCCGCCACCCGTTGTCACGTATAACCGCCACCCCAAATGTAGCGTTCTAACCGGTGTGCAAACCCAACTCCCCAACTCCGGCATATCTATATAGAAAAGCTAGCTAATTCGCGAAACAGTATGTTCCCTATATACTGTCCGCTATACTAGTTTAGTTTATTTGAAAATGAATAGCAGTGAGTACAAACATACAGTGAAGGAAAATCAAAAAGGATTCGGAAACAAAGTACAAAATTTATACTAATCCGTCTCCCTTATATTTGATAATGAAATTATTCAGCTATTACATGTATTAGGTAGAACGAAATAGATATACGGTTTTATGCAATATATGGTGGCATATTAATTTCTGCCCCCTGCATGCAAGATAAATTATGTCAACATGCGAGAAAAGTTTGTCAACATGCAAGATAATTATGCCTCAGTGCATGCAAGATAAGTATGTTGACATGCAAGTTACCAATGTTTTCAGAGAATCTGATTTAATATTGATAAATTTACTTACTGGTGCCAATATCTGACATCATACATCCAATAAGTCGCATATGTCAACATAATTATGTTGCATCTTGGTTGTATATGTCAGCAGGGACCTATTTACTTCCCTGGTGTCAGATACTGGCATTAGTAAGTAAATTTAGCCACATCAAAATTATGTTCTCTATAAATAACAATGCATGGGCCAAGACTGTCCCTTTGGTACTCCAGGAAGGACATCAGCCGTGGATTAGATATATGACCATCAGGCCCGTAGCAGCGGTTGCAAAAGTGGGGGAGGTGGCAAATTAAAAAAAAAATTGACAAGCAAAAAAAAAAAAAAAAAAAACAAACAAACAAACAAACAAAAAAATCAACCGTCCAAATCCTGAAATTTGCCAGTGCTCGACCTTAATGCAACAAAGAGTGGGGGAGGGGGGGGGGCACAATATAAAGGAAAATTTTCTATAGTAAAAAAAAATACTACACTCAGAAAAAGGGGCGGGACCCAATCCCCCCCCCCCCCCCCCGCGGGCCTGACCATCTAGTAGTACTTGCAGTTGAAATGATAAATCCGATTTGTTTAAGGTTAGACTTTCAGATAGCAGTGTTTCTTGTGAATTTATTGATGAAAATTATGAACATTTATACTTTCTGAATTATGAAACTATAATAAATTTTAATTCAGATTTATTTAACACCATAAGTATATTAGACCTTGAAACAATCCGATTATTTGGGGACCCAAGTGTGGGCCACCAAAATAACGTAAATGAAGATTTTTAAAGCTGGATTTACAAATTAATAAATAAAAAAAAATCGTAAAAATTTTAACTGTTTAACTTTAATGATCAGCATAATCATTCCTATCTTCTACAACCCCTCTCTTTTCCTCTCTTTTCTCTAGTCTAGCTCTTTTACATTTTTAATATATGTACATTTGTTGTTGGTGGTGGTGTTGGTGGTGGATATCCATCACGTGTACTTACCGTTCATTTTCTTTGTATTGGAGAGGTCAATCTACTGATCTAGGGAAGAAAAACTTGTGTCCAATGACTCCAATTTGAATGAATATATATCAATATGTTAAAAGAAGTTGGGCAAACAAGGCTAGCGCAATGCCTATAGTGCAACACTAACATGAAGGTCAAAAATTAAATCACATAAAATGTTCTTTGATATTACATCTAAAATTAAAGTATACTTTATTTAAAGTCTCCACAATTTGCAATAATCTCACTAAGATTGAAATTATATGCCTATGAAATAGCATACACCCACTAGAGAGGGCAAAAAGGGTCATTTTCTCATGCCAAAACACAATTTTTCGATAGGAGTAGGTCTTCGTTCCATATTTTTCAAAGTTTATTCTCAAAGTTTGCCAAAATATATACATTTTTTTCTGTCAACAAAAACATGGAACAAAGACTCAATATACCTTAAAAATACACTTTCATGGCACAACATTAGCATTTTCCGAGAAATACTTGAAGTCCATTAATCTAATTAGTAAATTTAAGGGTCATATATCACAAACATGATTTAAATACCACAGTTCTTCAAGAGCTGTGTAGCGTAGTGATTATCGTGTAAGTCTCAAAAGAAAATGATATTCAGGATTTTTATTGCTAGGGTTCGCACCCCACAAATACCACATTATTTTTTTTTAATAATAGAATAATTTTTGCCGATAAAATTTTCCTCAGAAAAGTTTTTTTTATCATAATTTCAGTAATGATAACTTTACTCTAATTACTAAATTCACAAATTGATTATAATTTTTATAGGCATTCTAGTTGTGCGCCTTGTTCACCCATCTCCTTTATTAATTACAGGTAAAATATTTCAGTCGTTATCTTGAAATACAAAGAATAAAGATCCCCTCCTCTCAAAGAGGGCGCCATGCATGGCGACTAATTTAGTCACCAATTAGAGCGCTGCCCCCCCCCCCCCCCAATGATTGGAAAATAAATGAAATTGAAATAAAACGCTATTTAAAAATGGCTCTCAAAATTGTTCCTCAAAATCTTGGAAGAAGTATGAAGAACAATTGGTCAATATTTTATACCGAAGATTAGGTTTGACCAATCAAATATTGTACTTCTTCAAAGAATTTCATTGTACTTCATAAATAGTTTCCTGCCAACATGTAGCCATTGTACGGTATCCATGGATTCTTAGTTTGAAATTTGTTCAATTTTACTACACAAAGTCATATACATGCTGATGTAAATTTATATTAAAATGGTGGGGAGAGTAGCTTCCCATGTCGCACCTTGCACTTCCGGTAATATAGGTGGCGCGATATCGTAGACAAATATAGAAACTTTTTACACGTTACAAGGAGGAGATTCCCCAAGCATGTTTTTATACAAGAAATAGATAAATATTCTAAGCGGAATGATACCATAAACGATGATTAAGTATTTGAGTCGGACAAGGTAGAGGCTGTTTGTGAGAAACTGGAGCTGCGCGAAACATGACAGTTGGGGGATCAACATCAGGTGCGGGGTCTAGGAACCCCGTCAAAATATTTGCCAACATCTTTATATCCTTTATTGGTGCTGGTGTTTTAGGACTCCCGTTTGCATTTAAAGAGGTAATGATTTTATATAAATCCAAATGCAAATTTCTATTTGCGATATCCCCCAATTAACAATTAATAACAATTAATTGTCAATTGTGAACTTAATCAATTAGTCAGGTTTAGGTTAGTTGGTTAGTTTGGACCAATTGCCCAAATTAGATATCATAGTCCTTTTGGGATATAATATTGCATGTTTATCCCAAATCGGTTTAATATAAATTTACAGTTCGAAAAATGAAGATAAAAATATTGGCTACAATGTATAAGTATTGTAAATCCGCATAAAATTAACTTTATAAATGCAATAACTTTTAGCAGGAAACTTTTTCTATATCTCTATATTTTATGAGATTGATCTCCATAAAGATTAGGATCATTGGACTGATCAATCTCCTAAACAATAGAAATACAAAAATGAAACATGTGTACCAAAACCTTTCTTAAGGTATATTCTTAAGGCCTGATCTTTAAAAAAAATGTTTGCTTGCTTTCTCCCAACTCAGGATTAAAAAGTTGGGTAAGTAGGTAGGTAGGGAGGATTTTTTTACTCAAAAACACTTGCGAATATGAAGTTAAAATGGTTCATGATGGGATGAGAGAGCTTTGGAATGAATAAAAAAATAATTGTTTCCTGGAGGTTAAAAACAGTCAGGAGTGAGACTAAAATCCATCATATTGAAAAATGATTGATAATGATTATTGTCATTTCTACTAACTTCATAATGTACATATTTTTATTACTTTTGTTAATAGGACTTGTTTTCATCATATTTCCATTCCAAAGTGAATTCTTCCAACATTTACTACAGTAATAAGATATAATAGTACACTATCCTGCCATACACACATGTGTAGAGAAACATCTTGACAAACAATTGAAACCAAAATAAATTAGTGCGCCCCGTAAAACTAATGATATAATAAAGTGTGCCCAGACCTACCAATTTGATAAAAAATGATGAAATATGGTCATATTTATTTTCAGAGGTAACTCTATATTTTGAAATAAATTCCAAATATCTTTGACTGTTTTTGATCATAAATATTCTAAGAAATGATGAATTTTAGTCATTACTGAAAATCAAATTTATGACTAGAAATCATCATTTTCAAATATGATGAATTTCAGTCTCACCCCTGACTGAAAATGTTTTTTTTGGTCGGGAAAGGGCAACAACTTTTTAAAGATGGCCTAAGTGTATTTACAATATTTATAGATAACAAATTAAATCTCTTTTATTTTTTGCACTATTTATTGGGAATTATTAACCACAAATGGGCAATTATATACTTTTGGGAGTGATTGCATGGTCCAAACCTGCTATAGTTACTTACTGTACTGCTTAATTGTTCAAATAAATGCATGGATATTGATTTATCAACAACAATTAATAAGCTTGAAGGAATTGTGCCCAGTGGCCCTTATTCATATGATTATTTTACAAATGATTGGAATGTTTTGGGTAATTCAGGGTTGTCCTTAAGACCAGGGGAATTTCCCCACTTATAATGACATAATCCCCTGGTTATTCTGGTATTCCCTTTCAACCCTCTGTTAGGGGAAGAAACCCAAACCAAATGACATTTCTATTGTAGGCAGGAATATTAGGAGTGTGTCAACTGATAATGACATTTCTATTGTAGGCAGGAATATTAGACGGAGTGTGTCAACTGATAGTGACATTTCTATTGTAGGCAGGAATATTAGACGGAGTGTGTCAACTGATAATGACATTTCTATTGTAGGCAGGAATATTAGACGGAGTGTGTCAACTCATAATGACATTTCTATTGTAGGCAGGAATATTAGACGGAGTGTGTCAACTGATAATGACATTTCTACTGTAGGCAGGAATATTAGAAGGAGTGTGTCAACTCATAATGACATTTCTATTGTAGGCAGGAATATTAGAAGGAGTGGTTGTCATGACGTTGGTGGGAATCATCAGGTAATACAACTGATCAGGACTAAAATCCTTCAAGATTGTTACAGCAAGGCTAGCTGCTAGGCTAGATATCAAGATTGTTACAGCAAGGCTAGCTGCTAGGCTAGATATCAAGATTGTTGCAGCAAGGCTAGCTGCTAGGCTAGATATCAAGATTGTTACAGCAAGGCTAGCTGCTAGGCTAGATATCAAGATTGTTACAGCAAGGCTTGCTGCTAGGCTAGATATCAAGATTGTTACAGCAAGGCTAGCTGCTAGGCTAGATATCAAGATTGTTACAGCAAGGCTAGCTGCTAGGCTAGATATCAAAGTTTATTGAATGCACTATATGAATTAACTCTTGTTATCCAGGGCTTCATAGTCACTAGGCTAGCATAGAAATCATGTTACATCACACAAGTTAGAAAATAAATGAGCGGGATTGACACATGCATTGAATTAGTGCTGCAATGTATGGATTTCTAGGGAATTAAACCTCTAAAATTGACAATAAATTGTGATTTTACCATCAATTATATCATCACGCATAAGTCTTAATATTATCTACAACCAACTTGGAATTGATAAAACTGATTTACATGTTGAAAATAACTCTATTCTCATTTACACCTGCTTTTACCTGGATTATTTATTTATAGGAAAATCTGATCTGAATTATGATGATAGATTTGAAAATTTTAATTCATTACAAGTCTAACAATCGTATGATACAAAGCATGAATGGAATATTTGGACCCCTAATTATCTAGTTTTAGATTGCACTCCAATTCTTATAAAACACTCTAATGGTCAGCCAAGCAAACACTTTAAGGACATGGCCAGTGTATTAAATCTTGGCATCTAAAGGAAAAGAGTTTGATAACATGAGTCTCATTAAAAATCACATGAAGAGTGCAAATTTTCATATCATAATATACTAACATTAATGGGAATTACCAAAATTTAACAAGCCATCAATAACAGTCACCAGTTGTGAAATGAATAAACTATACATATACATGTAGTTTATGAATAAATATTTTTTTGAAATGGAATGATTATTACAGAAATGAATAATTTTCTTCAGTGTGAAAGCCATGCTTCTCATAGTCGACTGTAAATATCAGCTGATCAAGGAAAACAGAATCCAACCCAAAACATTTACTGATGACACAGAGGCTATAGAGGATGGCCTTCAAATCAAGGTCAAGGACAAAGAAGAGGTCATGACCTTATTAGCAGAGGATGAGCCTGAGGCTGACAAGGGGCATAAGGTATATATTTATCATTATCTAATAGTACGATGTGTATTTAAATGTTCATGCATTAAAAAAGAAAATTTTTGATAGATGTGAAAATTAATTCCAAATATATATATATTATTATAACAGTGACTTGATCCGAAGAGCCGTATCACGTCAAGTTGACAGGCGCGGATCATCAGATCAAACGAGACGCGAAGCGTCGAGTTTGATCTGATGATCCGCGCCTGTCAACAAGACGTGATACGGCTCTTTGGATCAAGTTACTGTTATAATGATAAATTTATTATATACCCCTTTACAACTAGCAAAATGTAATAAAAGGTAACTTTTTGGATAAATTACATAACTTTTATACATTAAACAAACCATTTTTTCAAGGAACTTTTTGAAGCGCGAGAATAAAAACGTCATTTATCTGTGTACTACGTCATCAGTTTCAGAGAGGGGTGATATGGATTCAGAAATCCACAGTGTGGTGATCCGGAACGTCGGATCACACCGTCATAAATTGCATAAATTCAACAGTAAAACTGAGTGACAAACAGTTGGGTATATAACAAGAGGCCCATGGGCCACAACGCTCACCTGAGTAACTTTGGCCCTGCTGTTCTTCACCAGACTTTCCCCCATGTAATACACCTATTGTGGTCCCATCCTATCCCAGGGGTCATGATTTTAACAATTTAGAATCTACACTACCCCAAGATGCTTCCACACTAGTTTCAGCTTTTCTGGCCCAGTGGTTCTTGAGAAGATTTTTAAAGATTGTTTCTATATATTTCAATGTAAAACTTGGATTCCCTATTGTGGCCCCGCCCTACCCCCGGGGGTCATGATTTTAACAATTTAGAATCTACACTACCCCAAGATGCTTCCACATTAGTTTCAGCTTTTCTGGCCCAGTGGTTCTTGAGAAGAAGATTTTTAAAGATTTTTTCTATATATTTCAATGTAAAACTTGGATTCCCCATTGTGGCCCCGCCCTACCCCCTGGGGTCATGATTTGAACAATTTAGAATCTACACTACCCCAAGATGCTTCCACATTAGTTTCAGCTTTTCTGGCCCAATGGTTCTTGAGAAGAAGATTTTTAAAGATTTTTTCTATATATTTCAATGTAAAACTTGGATTCCCTATTGTGGCCCCGCCCTACCCCCGGGGGTCATGATTTTAAAAATTTAGAATCTACACTACCCCAGGATGCTTCCACATTAGTTTCAGCTTTTCTGGCCCTGTGGTTCTTGAGAAGAAGATTTTTAAAGATTTTTCCTATATATTTCTATGTAAAACATTGATTCCCCATTGTGGCCCCGCCCTACCCCCGGGGGTCATGATTTGAACAATTTAGAATCTACACTACCCCAGGATGCTTCCATATAAGTTTCAGCTTTACTGGCCCTGTGGTTCTTGAGAAGAAGATTTTTTAATGACCCCACCCTATTTTTGTCTTCTCTTGATTATCTCCCCTTGTGAGGGGACTTGGCCCTTCATTTTTACAATTTAAATTCCCCTTCACCCAAGAATGCTTTGTACCAAGTTTGGTCAAAATTGGCCCAGTGGTTCTTGAGAAGAAGTCAAAAATGTGAAAAGTTTACAGACGGACGGACAGACAGACAGACAGACAGACGGACGGACGGACGACGGACAAAATGTGATCAGAAAAGCTCACTTGAGCCTTCGGCTCAGGTGAGCTAATAAATATATATTATTATAACAGTAACTTGATCCGAAGAGCCGTATCACGTCAAGTTGACAGGCGCGGATCATCAGATCAAACGAGACGCGAAGCGTTGAGTTTGATCTGATGATCCGCGCCTGTCAACGAGACGTGATACGGCTCTTTGGATCAAGTTACTGTTATAATAAGATAAATTTATTATATATCCCTTAACAACTAGCAAAATATGATAAAAGAAAAAACTTTTTGGATCAATTACATAACTTTTATCCATTAAACAAACCATTTTGTCAAGGAACTTTTTGACGCGCGAGAATAAAAACGTCATTTATCTGTGTACTACGTCATCAGTTTCAGAGAGGGGTGATATGGATTCAGAAAACCACAGTGTGGTGATCCGGAACGTCGGATCACATCGTCTCGTGATTGCGTAAATTCAACAGTAAAACTGAGTGACAAACAGTTGGGTATATAATAATATAGAATTATTGCTGTTTTGAAGCCAATATGATGTTTTAGCTTTTGGAAGAGTATAGTTTTTACTGAGTCTGAAGTGCAAGGTGAATTCTGTAGATTTAGGGTTGCTTAATCATTGTATTGACCAACAAAAATAATGTTTTATTATATGATTCACTGATTAAATGATACAAGCTCATTTGCAAACCATGTTATTTTTCTTGATTTGTAAATTATGACTGCTGAATTCCTAACTGAGCTAAGTCATCCAGATGTTTTTTTATGTGGTGTATGATTTGTTTTTTGTCAGAATTCCCGCCTCTCAGTGGACTTTTCCTATGGAGATATTGGTAAGTAAAAACACTGTTGAAGGTTCTCGTTCTCTCTCTCTCTCTCTATATATATATTTTCTCCATTTTTTTCATGGTACATAAGCCAATGAGTATGAAATTTGTAGAAATTTCAACATACATGTGTATGTGACATCTTATTATGAGGAAAATATGATTGAATAGTTCAACCTTTCAGTTGATACTGCAGTCCTCTCTTTTACTATCTATAATTTTATACTTTTATTTCTATATTCTACATGTATACCATGTATACTGTAACCAACTCTTTTATTTGGATTTGTCAGTTTGAAATCTATCCGCGACTATTAATTTTCTTGACTGAGGAAACATTCTACATAAATATGCAATAAAAAATGGGTTTGCAGTGAGAAATACACTACATACACTAATGATGAGTAATAGAAATTTGTTGAACTTTAAGATTTATCTTGCATGCAAATAAAAGTTTTCATTATGAAAATGGCATGCATACATGTCTTTGTAATAATGATGGCACTTATAAAGTTTTAAAGTTTACATATTATTCCTGGCACATGAGATCCGAATTGCTACTGTAAAAAAAAATGTTTTAATCTATAACATACAATATTTCTGATTAGGCAAGAAACAGGATAAGAATCAGGATTATTGGGTAGTATTTGATTTTTGTAAGTTTTTTACTCAAGTGATTTTTGGTTTTTTACCACAATGACATGTAAATAACATGTTTCATGTACAAAAATTGTACTTTTAAATCACTTGAAATGAAACATCTTTTGACTTGTACAATGTATTACATGTATACCAGTATGTACAAAGAGGGCCTTTTATAGTCTTATATATATATCCTCCTGTGAGGAGGAATGAAATATTTATTCTATTGAAATCTTTTGACTTGTAGGTCACCATGCTCTGGGACACATTGGACGAGTTTTTGTTGATTTAGCCATCTTAATTTCTCAAGCTGGTAAGTGAGATGAAAAATTGTTGATCAGTGATGCTTTTTTTCACTATGAGTTGTAAGATTAATCCAAAAATTGAAATTTTTTGAAAAGACCTTTTCTTAGATTTATCCATTTAAGGAGTGAATTTAATAGCTACCCAAGTTAGACCGTATAATTACATACGTTACAGGAATACGCAGGTCAAGGTCGAATTTGGTCATGGTCTGATGATTTTTGACAGAGTTATCCCTCTTGTACTTAGGAAAAAAAGAAAGAAATTTTCAGTTTCTGCTCTCTAACTTTTGTAGGAATGTATGTATAAGGTTGAAATTAAATATGCAGGTATTTTACCAAATAATACAGGCCAAGTTCGAATTTGTTCAGGGTCTGATGATTTTTGTCAGAGATATAGCTTTTGAACTTAGAAAAAAAATTATTAATTTTCAGTTTCCGCTCTCTAACTCTTGTAGGGATGTATGTATAAGGTTGAAATTGCATGTGCAGGTATTTAACCAGAAAATACAGGTCTAGTCTGAATTTGGTCTTGATCTGATGATTTTTGACAGAGTTATCCCTGTTAAACATTGCCTGAATAGTTTTTATCTTAGTTCATAATGCCCCTAAAATGAACTTAGAAAAAAATTTGTGCAAACAAATTTAAAATAAATATGGCTTTTGAAATTTTGGCTGCCTGCAGGGACATCTGTGGTGTAATGACACATCTAGTTCCTTATATTTTTCTATCATTAAGTGTAAAAAAAATCTCTTCAAAAATGACTTCAAATTATAAACAAAAAAAAATAAAAAATCAAAGCATTTTTTTTGACATAAGTCATTGTGATGTAGGCAACACAGGTTATAAGATGCAAAATAATTTTTCTATCCAATTAAATATGTTACAACAGAATTTATATCCTGTAAATGAATTATGAGCAAAATGAATTAATAAACAGATGTTATTCTATTTAAAGTTTTAGAAAGACATTTTCCTTAATTCGATCAGCATTTTACCAGTATTAAGTAAGCTATGGGAACAATGGATTCAATGAAATGGAATTGTTCATTCAATTTTGTAAGATATAAAAATTTAGAAAAAGTGAATGCAAGCCAATGCTGAGAAGAATAAGTGTGTTTTATATTTTGTTTATAGAATATGACCTGAAGTTCTAGATGTATGTTTAGTAATCTGTGTATTTATAATTTGGTTCAGAATTAGGTACACTCTTTATGATCACAGTTTCTATTTCTACTTTTATTTTCTATTTCTACTTTTATTTTCTATTTCTACTTTTATCTAGGGTTTTGCTGTGCTTACCTGATATTTATATCAGAAAACTTATCCAGTTACATCCCTAAACTAAAACTGTAAGTATATATATCAAATTTTTTAATTTTTCAGAGATCTTGACAAAGCATTTTGTTTAATGTCTTCCTGACAGATATTTGTATACACTATTAATTTTGAACATTTTATCTTTGATTTCAGAATTCACTGGTTGATTTTACTCCTACCTCCATTGTGTTTACTAACTTTACTACGGCAACTTAAAAGTCTGGCATTCACAAGGTATTCACAGTAAAGTAGGGAATTAAATACTCTTATTGATCTTCATAATGTAGCATAAGTTTTCCTGATCAATAAAGTGAGGATTGTAATACTTTGTCTTGTATGGCAAAGTTACAATGTAACATATTGTCATTAAATGCTTTGTTAAAAACCCTAAATATTACAGCACATAATCTCTGAAGCAATTTGATGACAAAATGTCCAAAAACTGGAAAAAAATTGGTGTTAAAGCTGGTCAGTTTGAATATAGATAACTATATTAGAAGAGTCATATGGTAAATTTCAGGAGCTGACTTTATAAGAGCAAATTGGCATAATTTTGGTTTTGCACTAAATTTTTTGAGTCATAAGATACATATGTTTAGATTTACAAATAAGCTTGTGGTCTAGTGGTTTTTTTTTTGGTTTCAGTTTACTGGCCCAGTGTTCAAATCTTTTGGCCTTTGGAGTGGTGTTTTGGTTTGATTTTGAACATTTCCATCACATTGAGTAAGTATAAACTACAAGTCATGTTTAAATACTGAGTGGTTTAGCAGAACATTTTTTTTTTAAATTAAATTTATTGAAATTGGTGTCACATCTTTTCAAAGTATTGTCCACATAACTGTTTCATTTTAGAACTTGGAACATTTTTTGGTCAGTCTATTTGCTGGTTTGTCAAAATTTTACTTTGATCATGAAATTAGATCAACAGTATATGGCCTAAGTGAGTCATAATTGCATTTTTATGCCTAAAGATAAAATTATTGGAAATAAGGTTAAAAACTGCACAGAATTTCACATTGTATGGTGTTTTAGTCATAAAAAATGAGCAACAAATAACTCTGCAATAATATTTTAGAAAAATGCATTTTTCAATGAAATATATAGTGGAAAAATAAAATTATGACTCACTTATGGCCATATACTGTACTTACATGTATATCTGTATATAAGGCTTTGGCCTCATATTTTGTAAAGACCAAGACTCCATTTGAACATGCTTCTCAGAAATCAAAGACAAATTGCAGAAAGGCTGAAATTGTCCAGTTTCAGGGGAATCATGCTTCACTTGAACATCTAGTTTTATATTAATAAAACCACAATATTCACAATGTCATGCTTTTAACACATAGTCTGTTGTTTTTCAGAAGGTAATAGCTTTAGACAAAAAAATCTCAAGGTTTTGTAACAACTATAGTAGGCAGGGGTTTACTTGGTTACTTTTTCTGAGCAGTAATGAAATAACATTTTCTTCGTCTGTGCTATTGGACAACACTAATAGACATACTTTACATAATTATACTGACTTTTCTTTTTATAATTATTAAATGACATATTATTCTTTCTTGTTTAATTTCGTAAGTTTTAAGAGCCATTCTCTGTAACGACTTGAACTTTTATATAGGAGCTGTGGCACGCATAGTCTCAGAATTTCTCCAAACTCTCTATGATAAATGTCTTTGATACCATAAACTCAAATCAGGCAGAAATTGGTTGCTACGTGTCATGGTCACCATGGCAACATGTCCTAAAGTTTGAAAAATGGCATTTTTCAACATGTTCAGAGTCCCACAGTTAACGTTTGCAGCAAACCAAACAAGTGGCAATGATTGTTTCTGAAAGTTGTAGGCCTGATGTCTTAAATGCATGATAAACATGTTTGGTAAATCAACTATTACATACGTTACTATGGGAACAAAGTATTCAAAAGTAATAATTTTGCTCATTTAATTTTATAAAATCAAACACTTAAGAATAAAAAAAAATTATAGGTTGAAATGCAAGCAAATAATAAACAAAAGATTCTTGTAACATATACCAAGGAAGAAATATGATATTTCTTATAGGTTGGCAATGGTTGCCATGGTTTTAATACCAAGAAGGGATTTTAAATTTACTCTATTAGTGTTTAAATCTAATCCTCTCTTTTTAAAAAGCATATTTTTATATAACTGATGATCAATTTTTAAAGACGTTCATGTGACCCTAATTTTCACATTTCAAAAAACTCAAATTCAATTCTTTAAATAGAGCGTTGCTATGGAAATAAGCCGAAAAAATATGCATAAAAATCTGAAAAATATTCTGTTTCCTTGGATACGTACCCTTGTATGTAGATTCCCAAAACTTTTATGATTGATAATTATGAACAACTAACCTGACTTTCAATTTTGACTGCCACCTAATCTCTAACTGGATGCAAAAAGCTGGCACATAGGGTTTAATATTGATATAAAATTAACAATATCGAACATTTTCCCTTCTTGGTTACCATAGCAACAGTGTTGTATTTTTCAACAAACGTTATCAATATATGATATTCAACTTTAGTTCTACCAGATAAGTACTATTCAAGGTGAGTCAAATAATACGTTTCTTGAATAAAAAGTAAGTAAATTCCTAATGCAGCAAAAAAATATCACTTTAAACAACTGGTACATTGTTTCCATGGTTACACTGCAAAGTAACAATTAATCCCATTTTTTCTTATGTTGTCAGTGTTGCAAGGTCCTAAGGATGTATATGTGCCAGTCATGAAATTTATTGTTTTTCCTGAAGATAGTAGCATTTACCCAATCTTAGCAACACATTTAGCATGGTAACACTGTGTTACCATGGCAACCATGAAAGTTATTTTTAGAATAATATTGCCAATACCTAATTACTTAAGGTCAAATATTTTTATTGTTTTTTCTTAGGTTGTTGATTGAGTTTGATCATTTAACACCTATCATTAGTGAATATTGAGCATTTTTCTGCATTTTTCAGCATCTAAAATGTATTCCAAATGTACCCATGGTTACCACTTACTTAGAGATAAATTCTAAATAGTTTCTTTATAGCACTAGTGGCAACAAGGTGTCAGGTTTTTGTGAGAATTGTTTGTTTGTTATTCTTAGTCTTTATTAAGGCTTAATAAAGATTCAAAGTAGCTGAAAATCTCAATTTTTCCAACTTTTCTGGCTGTTACCATGGCAACCAAGACACATAGCAACGAAATTTTATTTGATATATGTTTCTGGTGTCAAGTTGTAATAATGTGCAAAGTTTCATCAAAATCGGTGACCATGCGTGGCAAAGAAGTTTAAGTGGTTACAGAGAATCGCTATTAATTCTGATGCTAGCTTTAGTTATGTATTAACACTGTAAGAATTTATTATATCACTAATTATAGCACTAGAAGGTATCAAAGAAAATTTTTGTTTCCCCTAATACTGGCTTTGGTCCCCTCACATTATATACACAGTATAGTTGTTTATTTTTACCAACACATGTTCATTTTCCTCCGAATTTATGCTGAATCTTAAACAATGTTCCTTCATATAATATACATGTCATACTGAAGTTCAGTAAGTGACTTAAATGGAAAAGAAAAAAATAAACAACTATACAAGTATTTTAGCAACAAGAAACAAGCATCTTCTTGATTTGTAGGCTAGTCCAGGGGGAAAAGGACTTGAATATGAAAAAAAAATCAAACATTTTTTGCATTTTCCAAAGTACATGTAGGGTATTTATTGTGGCTAAAAATTCCTTCAGATTATATACACAATCAATGCAGTCAACTCATTTATCACCACTGTATATAACTGTGCATGCAAACTTTATTATAGAGTAAATATATATATGTCACATTTTCAGTCTGTATATTCACACCCAAATTAAACACAAAAATCTACATAGAAAAGAAATATTTCATATTTGAAATTTAAAGAACTGTTTTTATATGTGAATATGACTTCATGAAACCTCATTTATTAACAGAGAAAATTATTGGACTGTGTTATTTTTAAAGTGATTTTATTTGATATTTTCAGAATTCATCCAAAGAACATGTCCATAAAGGGACTACCATTTTTCTTAGCCATATCCATATACTGCTATGAGGTACTTGTGCTATTTATTAAGGCCTTGGCTCAATAAAATTACTCATTTGAACATGGTAAAATGGTGACAAACACCGCTTCCTTAAGTACATGTACACTGAAGCAAGGAAATCTCGAACGATATTTAAGTGTTCTTTTTACTGGCATCTACAATTTGAAATAATTATTCCATGAAGTAAGCCTTCAGCCTATTATAGGGTTTTTCCTTTTACTTTGACCAGGGTGCTGGTATGATTTTGTCTCTAGAAGGTTCACTGGCAGCAGACATCAGATACAAGTTCAGAAGGTCAGTATAGAAGATGCACAGGAGAGTTTTGGGGTCAAATTTGGACAAGGTCAATTTATAGTGTAATATTTTTCTCAAATTGTCCCACAGGTTTATTTGAAATACAGATAAGATAGAAGCTCATTCCTCATGTTAAACTGCCAAAAATCATTTTTTTTTTTAATTGCTTGAACCAGAGTCTGTATAGACAGAAAAGTAAAGGATTTTACTCTATAATTTTTTTTTGTCAAACAGCGTTCAACTATTTTATAAAATATTTCAAAGCATTATATTGATAGAAACACATTTTTATTAGAAATGTCTTAACCATGGCAAATCTTAAGAATAAATCTTTAGGATATTCATCTTTCTAATTTTTGTTTATTACAGATATTTTATTGGTACCATGGTTATTGTCACAAGTTTATATATATCATTTGGATCAGCTGGATACTTGGTAAGTTAAAGATTTAGCAGCATGAAATAAGCAAAAATATTGCTGATTGCTACAAAATAAGGAATTGATTTTAAATTTTGTATCTTTTGTAGTCATTTGGACCAGAAACTAATGCCATAATAACATTGAATTTGCCAAAAGGTGAGGTATTTTCTGTGTGTCAATATCTCCTTTACAATTCCCAGGTTCTCACACAACAAACATTTTTTTAAGGTTTATTTGTTTTAATGTTACATATGTAATTTTAAAATACTATCCCCCATTACCAATCTTCATTATTCCAGGTGAATCAGGGATGGATTTCGCCATGATTGTCAAGTCCTTCCTCTGCCTTGCCTTATTTTTTACTTACCCAGGTAAGCCGACAATGTGTTAAAACTTGCATGTTCTTGTTAACTGTAAATTAAAGTATTTTCTACAAGTTAAAGTATTTTCAAGACTGAATATGTCTGAGATGGTTGATAATAATTTCAAGAATCATTCTTAAAAACTAAACATGATTCATTAAATGTTGGTTTTGTCTGGAAATAAGCAAAGAAACCCGAGATGTATTTCAAAGGAAGAAAATTCTAACAAACATTTAAAGATACTTCTACAAGTGAACATATCCAATTTTTTTCAGTAATGATGTTTCCTGTGATGAAGCTATTAGAGAACTATCTGATTGTTGATGCTCATAAGAAAATATTAAAAGGGGTAAGTAATAATAATCATAATGATACAGTCAAACTTATCTGTATATTGTGTATTCCGAAATCTTGCCTATTACAATGTAAAGTTTTAGTCCCTTTCAGTAAATTACCAGATTAGACAAGTTTTACTGCATTGTGTTTGTGTTAGAATTGGATCTATGATGACATCATATAGAGGTATTTTTCTTAATATCAGAATTTTCTTTTTTTCAGAACCTCCTGAGAGTATTTACAGTTTTTATGACAGGCTGTATTGTGTTAATCATACCTAACTTTGCCAATCTCATGGCCTTAGTTGGTGCTACATGTTGTACAATGTTAGCCTTTACTCTGCCAGGACTCTTTCACATGTGTATATTTAAAGGGTAAGTGAGGGAGGTATGGCTTCTATCTACATTACATTTCATCATCAAATTAAAAGTTCCATAATACAATGTATGTACCATTCTGGTTAAACTACATCTAGTACTATAAGAACAAAAAATTAAAATGAGTCTTGTACACTGTACTAGTGGATGCATGTAAGCACTCACTGAAAATGTTTATCTTTTATTATGTCATTTTTTTCTTCAGAAATCTCAGTATATACCAAGTCATTGTAGATTGGACATTGGTGTTCCTAGGAATTGTGGGGTGTGTATTGTAATTCATGTTGTATAATGTATTAGAATTGAAACTCTGGTCAATTTGTTTAGATACTCATAGAAAAAAAAAACAAAAGAATTCTTTTAGCAAGAGCTTACACAATAAGCATTCTATTTTATAAAACCATCACCATAATAACGGGACCCCACTGTTAACTGCCTTGATTAAGATACTGTAACTGATATGTTTTCTTAATATTTGGAGGAAAGGCGTTATTATGAATATAAATACATGTAGAACTGATAGATCTTACTGAGACTTTATTTTCTTTGAGACTTTGCCTACTTATAGATAAAAATCGTCAAGGTGAGCTTAATAATCTTTGATAACCTATGATTGAAATAGTAATGAGTACAGTAAATATCTTGATTTTCTTTTTACCTTTAAGCTTTATGACCTTGTTGTGAATCACAATCAGTCTATAAACTGATGATATCTGACTGCATCAACAGTTTTGTTTACCTCAGTTTAAATGACTTGTTATGATTTTTTGTCTTTTACTTTCTCATAAATGAAAAAGTAAATCAGTTAAAATGATTAGGATACCAGAGTTGGCAGCATCTTTGACTTTGAATATTATTAAATTCTTGTTCAGCTTTGTTTTTTTATCATCAATGTTTAAACATCACACAACAAGAAAATCTGGATTAGATTTTTACTACTGTTTGCATGACGTTTTTCGGATACTTTCTTCATTGTTAGATGTGACTTTGATCTCTTACCTTGGTTTATTACTTGCAGATAAATTCTTCTGTTTAGTTTCTCTGTTCCATAGATTTACTGATCACAGCAGTTACAGTGTGTAATTTAATGTCATCAAACTGGAAATACTTGGAAATCTAGCCATTTTGTCTTAATTGGTTTCATTTAAGAAGTGTACATGTAATTTGAAATTTAATTTGGATGGTTTGTTTTGTTGCTAACGAAGTTAACTTAATATTACACATTTATCAGATGTTATTGTCTTATTCTCCTTTCAGGGCAGTGATAGGAACTATTGATGCCTTACAAAGACTACACAGTGCAGGTAGTGAACCACATGATATAGTGGTATCCAACCAGAACCTGACCAAAACTTTGACATCTTTCATCAACTCTACTGTTGACCAGTCTGTATAGGAGTGACCTTCAGGTCAAGGTCACTAGTTTTATACATGCTATGCATACTTTATTTTGTACATATTTGAAGTTTTTGGGGATATTCAATGATGCTTTGTGTTTTTTTTTGTATCCAAGTTTCATTTTGTAGCATATTGATAAAAATATTATATTGTTTGAGCTGTCTAGTCTTACTACTCAGTTATCTTATGTCTGCTTTTGATTTTCAAAATGAAATAACATTTAATTTGATTAGGTCAGTTATCTAAATGTTTGTCTGTTTATAGATGCCAGTATTATAAGAAATTTGTATACTTCTGACTCTCCTCAGAAGAAGATCAGTAGGTTTATGAATTAATGCTTAAAATATTATGTCTATGAAAGACAATTAGAAACCAGAGAGTGGGTTTCTTTAGGCAGTGTAGGGGGACTGAGAGAAGTTGCTGACTGATCAATATTGTATCTGTTGTCTTGAGGTTTATTTTCCACTAAATTTCATCTTTAAATTGATGTTTGTAGAACATTAAGAAATTGTAGAAGACGATTTTGTAAGTCTTTGCATTAAATAAGTGCCATGAATTTAAGATAATTAAATGATTGATATTCAGTGAAAGGGGCCAAATATATATTTGGGAAAAAGTGTTCACATGAAATTATTTTTCTTTGAATTTTGTTGAAGGTAAAAGGGAATGGACTGGGGTTTTATTATAGTATCATCATTATGAATAATATTTTTTAATTGATATTTAGTTTTTTAAGATCAAACAAAGAAATCTCTGAACATTGTTAGGTTAAAATATCATATCATCAAAAATTGTTATTTGATTTGGATTCAAAGAAATACATTTGTAAATTATGTATTTCACTATTCTTATTTTCACTTGTACTGAATATTACACTTCACTTATATTAAGTGATATAATATAAACTAAGTGAATTGTTCATTGCAAATGATTATATTGAAAAGACAATATACACACAATGTACATCAGTATAAAAAAAAATCACAAATGGTTACTTATGTTATAATCGTCACATTCTAATATATTAAATGTTCAGTATGATAATTTGTTTACTTAATATTATAAACTTAATGTACATTTATTATTTAGGACCAAGTCTTTCAGGGGTCACCCAGTGTTTGAGTTGCATTGTTATTTGATATATTGATAGGAAATTGATACATTATATTTCCTGTATGTCTTTATTGGATTACATGGGGTACATTAGATGTAATATAGAAATATGCAGCTGAATTCCAGAAGTCATATGTTGTGTTATAATGCATAAAATTCTGTTACAACGGATTTTGAAATACAAGTATTTTAGGTAATAAATATTAATCCTTGGTATTTTTAATATACAGTAAACTTTGTCTATTATTGAAATCTAATTGTCTAATCCAGGTGTTGTGTATTCCAAAAATTTGCGTATAATGAAGAAAACTTATATTAACTTTCTTCAAATACAAGAGATAATTAAGTTGTCTAATTCAGAATGCCATAGAGTTTTTTCAGTGTAGAGTTGCATTGCTGATATATGGTTATAGTATTTAAGAGGGGATAGACACATCTGCAATGTCATTTTTGTGTACAATTTTAATTTATCTATCTATTTGAAAAATAACTTCAATTTAATGAATTGAACTTACATGAATGCTTTTGATATTCAGTGATTATGACATTCTTTATAATCTTACAACAAACACTTGTATTAGTAAACTTGGGCATGCACGCTGTTATTGTTTGTATTCAGGTTTTACCAGGTATGTTTGATTTGCTGATACTATACACATCATTGAACATGAACAGACCAGACCAGGTGTGATGGTTTTGCTTTCTTATATTTCTACTCTGAATTTTCAGAATTACTGGAAATGTGAATATAGTATGTGAAATGGAAACAAGAACATTAATTGCAAGGGTTATTTATGGTATTATGTAAATATAAATGTATTAAAATTGGATATAAATCTATGTTTATAAGCAATGCTATGTTAGCATGTATTTGGCATAAATTACCCCCTTTTGAAAATTTCCACATTTACTGTATAGTTTTAATGTTTTTTTTATCAGCATATCTCTGAAAAGAAACGTACCTTTTATGACATCAACAATTAGAAAAACAATGATAACTTAGATTAATTCTCTCCAGATTTTGTTTTGTATTAGATTATACAGCTTCTCTAGAGTTATTGTCTGATATATATATTTTTTTAGATTGAAAATATTGATTTATTTATATTATGGAGGGTAATCTAAAATGTTGTTTTGCAAATAAATTTGAATATGGACCATAGTCTGCTTCAGTGTTGTACATTTTTGAGTTATGGCTGGTAAAAGACCTGAAGAGCTATATGCCCAAATTCAGTTAAGTTTTTAAAATGTTCACTAAAGAATGGGGGCGTTCAAGGTGAGGAAAATCCCCTGCTATATAAATGTATATCTTAGTTTTCAAAGTTCATGACCCCCCCCCCCCCCCCCCCCCCGAAAAAATTAAATTGTCAGTAATGTCATCTTTAAATCATTCTATTCATTTAAGAATATAGCTTAAGGATTGATAACTCGTTTTAAGTTGACTGTTTAAGCATATTTAGTCTATCTAATAGAGTGCCGAGTAAAGGTCTAAATTTGAAGCCCTTCACCAGTATATGGTGACGTCTCTATATGAGTGAAAAAATTCTTGAATGGGACATAAAACAACATATAATCAATCAATCAATCGAACTAGTTCTGTTACTTGTTATATTTTGTCAATAAAGAAAATATTGGTCAATGTTAAAAAATGAGGCATTTTTTGAGAAATACCAAGGAGCGACTGGAAGTAGACTCGTGAGCTTGTCCGGCATCTCTCTGTCGTGTGTTGTCTGTTAACTTTTCACATTTTCGACTTCTTCTTCAGAACCACTGGGCCAATTTCAACGAAAATTACCTCAAAGCATCCTTGGGTAAATGGGATTTAAATTTCTTTCAAGGAAGTGTCACGCCTTTTTTCAAGGGGGAATAAGGATTCGTGAAAACTTGATGGCATCTTTAAAATCTTCTCAAGAACCACTGGGATAGATGTGAAAGCTTAATTACATACTGTAGATTAAAGTTTGTTCAAATCATGTCCCCCGGGGTAAGGGCGGGGCCACAACAGGGGATCAACGTTTTACATAGGAATATATAGGAAACACATACTGTAGTGTAAAAAAAGCTTGTGCTATCATTGGAGCAACTGTAAAATCAATATTACTATATGGATCAGAATGCTGGAAGCTCCGAAAAGACCACGCAAGGAAACTGAGAGTGTTTGTGAATCGATGCCTACGGACCATATTTAAGATCAGATGGCCAAATGTAGTGTCTAACAACGACCTCAGAGATGTCCGGACAAGAAGACATTGTTGTGGAAATTGTAAGAAGGAAGTGGAGATGGGTCGGCCATGTGCTCAGAAAAGACCAGCACAACATCACCAGAGAAAGCATTTTCTGGACTGCCGATGGCAAGAGAAAAAGGGGCAGGCCAAAAACAACATGGCGAAGAAAATCTGAGAACGAGCTGAAAGAGATAGGGTTGACATGGAAGGCAATAGAAACAAAAGGAAAGGATAGGACTGGGTGGAGAGACTGTGTGGCTGCCTTATGTGCCACCTGGCATGAAGAGGCCTAAGTAAGTAATTAAGTAAGTATCATTGGAGGACATCACATATCGCTTATAATTTCATATGCTAATCAGCATTAATTCGTATCTAAGGGTATGTTAACGGGGATTTGATTTGTATAAAAATGTATTATTTTACTTTAATGTACGAGATACAAATGTCAACTTTTTACAAGAAAGTTTCTTAGGCTTCAAAGAACCTTGAAAAATATTGAGATACATGAAATGAAAATTGTCGCAGGAAAAGATTTCAAGTTCAAGCTTTATTTTGAGACTTTTTTTTAATATTAAGGACATACGCAACGTAGTTTGAACTTTAATTATTGTCTTTTTCACTAGAGTTGAAGAGTTCCGATACGTAAAGGAACTGTGTGTTACATTTTAATGTTTATATATGCTGTTGTAGACTTCTAAAATATTAATTTGGATGAACAAAACATCTAGAACATGGGTGAATTCAAAAAAAATGACCACCAAACTGAATTTTTTTGGAAAAATTCAACTACTTCTAACATATTTTTCACTTATATCATCATATTGCACATGCATTCTAGTTTAAAATCCTGAAGTGGCAATAGAATAGACAATTGGATTAAAAAGTTTCAGAATTTTTATTAGTAAAATTTCTTTTGAAAGAAGAAAATATCATTACACCTTAAAAGACTTTCTAAAATACATAATCACAAGAAATTATAGTTTTTTATGCTTCAAAATGGTAAAAGAGGTATAAATGATCAAATCTAGACCTTTATTGAGTATCTTCTCTTGTATGTGTGACAAAAAAATTGGCTTTTTGATTGTTATTTTACATTATTTTTTCAATTCTGGTTTGAAAAGTTTTAATAAGAAAAAAATATGAAGCAATAAAATTCCCCAAATTTCACTTTTTTGTCCGTTCAAGCCAATTCTTTAAATCTAAGCCAAAGAAGAATTTTTATATACAAGTTCTCTTAAAAAAATACTAGATTTTGAAGTGACCCTATGTTACATTATTGTGTTGCACTCCTGACATCTGATATGTATTTTATTTAACATTGTTTTAAAAATTATAACACACAATAACCCATTCTTACTTTGTAAATTAATTTGTCATTTTGATATTTTTGATCGTTTACGGCAGGTTTTTCATATTTTGAAGACCTTAACACATGATTATTTGCAAAGTGTAATATACATAAATTGTATCTAAAACTATATGTGAAATGATGAAAACTATTCCCTGAATTGACAAGAAAATTTCTGTAATTTGTTGATAGACATAGTGTTTTGAACATCAAATAGTATCAAACATTTTTTTCAACTCATTTTTTTAGTAAAGATAATTAAAAAGCATTGGTAATTATAAAGCAGTTTTGTTGCACTCCAGACTGCAGTAAAATTTAAAATTAAAATCGTAGAACACAAAAATTCATAAAGTGTTGGCAACATGAAGTGGTAATGAAATTGTGCAATATTTATAGTCCAATACTTCATAATTAAAATGGATGAAAGTATTTGAAATTCATATTCTATCTGGAATTATTCTCTATTTATGCCAAAAAACTAGCTTAAATGTATATTTAGAAGATAAAGTATATTTTATAGCATATTTTCCTTTAGAGGACAAACACAGTAACCCACCAGAAAAATTCTACTCATCATTTTTTCTTTATTTTTATTCTTATTGGATGATTTATAATTCCAACATATTTGTTGCACTCCTGACCAAAAGTATTGGGACCTTTAAAGTAGAATTGTGAAGTGAAAATCACATAGGAACTTGTTCTGTTGTTTCAGTGAAGTTGAGGAGGAATTACTTGAATTTTATGACAATGTTTTAGTGTGTTTATTTTTAACATTCATTAAAAAAATCAAAAAAAAAGACAAAAACACATCTGAATTGATAAAATTGAAAAAGGAAGGATTTTAATAATAAAACTGTCAATAATTTAGTATTAAATTATACAAAAAGATCATTATTAATTAATGAATACGTCTAAGCATGAATAGAAGTGTTTTTGTCACACAACTTGAATCTTTAAAAAAAATGTGTTGCACTCCTGACCATAGAAATATGGATCTGAAGCACAGACATATCCTGTAATTGATAAATCTATTTGGTAAAAATGTTCTTTGTGTCTTTCTTTTCCAAAATAAAAATCAGAAAA